TAGTTTATAAATACACTATATCAAATCTATTGCGGCGGGGTCGGCGGAAACTGTTGAGATTGTGTAAACCTCTTCATCATATCTATCATGTCTACATTCTCTTTCTTCCGGATCTCATCTTCCCTATTTCGGATCTCTTCTCGGCGAAGAAGTTCCTCAACCTCCTTCTGTCGGATTTCATCTCGAGTGCGCATTTCTTGAATTTGGGACTGTAAGTTGTTAATTAACTACAAATAAAACAAAACGTTAAAATTTCTAATAAGAAGTATAAATGAAATAAATAAACATCAAAAGTTTAAGATGTACACACCTCACTATCTACATTAGGCGATCCACTCGAGTTTGCTTGTGAGGATGTCCCGGTCAAGACCAAATTGGGATCTTCATTGTACCCGAACCCAAATAGACGGTCTTTCATGGATCCCCCCAACCGCCTCATTCCATAAGTCAGTATCAACTAGGGGATGGGCCGAGGGATCCTCACCATACTTTTCGGTGAGATTGTTTGAATAGGTACCCTGTGGTTTAAAAAAATATTACTAGTCAATTTCAACAGCATAACGACTGTAAATGAAACGTTTCCAACTAAAACAATCATAACATTTGTCCAACAATGGCAACCCAAACTATATATATATTAACATTCTAACTTAAACAATCCTAACGTTTGCCCAATAAATGACAACCCAAACTAGATAGAAATATATATCACACACACATACACTAACATTTTAACTTAAATAATCCTAACGTTTCTCCAACATACGACAACCCAATATAGAGTTTGAAATAAATGGCAACCCAATATATATATATATATATATATATATATTAACATATATATATATATATATATTAACATTCTAACTTAAACAATCCTAATGTTTGTCCAACAAATGGCAACCCAAACTAGATAGAAATATATATCACATACACATACACTAACATTTTAACCTAAATAATCCTAACGTTTCCAACATACGACAACCCAATATAGAGTTTGAAGTTATATATAGATATTGTAAACTTACCGCAACCCGACTACACCTCGAATTCACGTACTCCCCTCGTGACCCGCAACCCGAAGATGACTCTGTACTCAACCTCTTCTTATGCGTGTGATCGAAGAGTTCCACAGCGGACGGTGGCACGCTATTTTTTGCTTTCGTCTACATAGTAGCAAGTAATAAAACATGTGTTAATTGTGTCATATTAAAAATCAAGCTACTAAAGTAATCGATATTAAGGACCTACCAGGCGAGCACCATGCATGGCGAATGTGATCGATCCACCGGTGTGTTTGGCTATATCATCTTCCACCATAGTCATTCGGTTATCACGAGCCGCCTTGGAAACTACACCCTTCCAATGGGGCGTGTTCCAGCGATCAATCATCTCGCACCAGATACGAGTATCGAGCCACTTAGGGTGGAAGCCCTTTAACATATTCATATCCTTATGAGGGTCGTTTTCTACATAGGGCATCGATTGACTTCTGGCTATTTCTCCTGCCCTTCTTCTAGCAGAATTCATGTCATCATTGTAGTTTTTGGCACCACGAGTCTCCCATATCTGCAGCATCTTGGCGTCCAGTGATAAATCCCAACAATAGTACCCCTATACATAAAAGATTAGTTGCTTGTTGACTTCAAAATAAAACTAGTACAAATATAACAAGTTAAAAGAATACTACAAACCTGGAAACGCTCCCACATTCGTGTCTTCACCTCCTTAGGGATTTCCGACCACGTGCACCATGGCCCCTCAATCATTGATCGAATAATCTGAGTCAAATGACGGGTCGCATGGATGTTGTTAAACCTGTGTAATGAGTTGAATTAGTATCGATACCCAAAAATAATTAATTTGATCAATTAGTTAATATAACACTTACTCATTGGATGTAACACCAATCCTCGTTCTCTCGATTGGAAGATGTTCTGGAGCATTGATGCCACAGACATTTGCAGACTCAAACTCATCTGCTTGTACAGAAGCACTACTAGATCCTGGAGTAGGTGTAGGGAGGCTAGTAATAGCTCGGCTAGGTGTAGCAGTAGATGGAGTAGGTGTAGGTCGGCTAGGTGTAGCAGTAGATGTAGGTCGGCTAGGTGTAGCAGTAGATGGAGTAGGTGTAGGTCGGCTAGGTGTAGCAGTAGATGGGGACGGAGTACCTGTAGAATCGCCCCTACCTCTTCCCCTACCTCCTCCACGCCAAATACGCTGCATACTGTAACAAGTCTATAAGAAAAGGGTTATTAAAAYAATAAAGATTTAAAAGATAAATTCACAAAGATAACATATAGACGAGTACACATGTAAACAAAGTTTATTAACACTAAAGTCAACCTAGTATTTAATCATCTGATGAGTGATCAGACAAGTCAGGTTCTTCTTCATCTGAGTCAGTATCTGAGTCTTCAAAATCTTGTTCGTCACTACTCTCGTCAACATGCCAGTTGGAAGAACCATCATTGGCAACTTCTATGTCTTCTTCCTCCGTGACAAGACAGATGGGTTCATACACTTCTTCGTTTGTACCTATGGATGTTATTCTATCATTTTTTTTGAAAAAATTGTTCCTCATCCACGTATTTATAAAAAGTTTATTTATGGTATATAAAAATAAAATTTTAGTTTAAAATTTTGAAAAATGTTTAAAACTAAGGGGTCGTTTACCAAACGCTTAACTGGGTAAGACGCTTATCAAATCATATTACCTTACTGGATGAACACGGTAAGGACCAATAATCTTACTCGGTAAGAGCGGAACAAGGACCAAAGATCTTACCCGATAAGTGAAGGCGATGACTCTTACCACGGTAAGCGCTTACCGGGTAAATTGATGCATGTGATGTTACTTTCGTCGACTAAAATCTTACCCTGTAATTAAATTGTAGTGTTAATTTTACTGGTAAAAGCTTACCAGATAAGTGTTTGATATACGGCCCCTAAGTTTGTCGAGTTTGAATATTATAATAATAAAATTAATACTAATATTTTTAAAATAAAGAAATTATTAAAGTTAAATATGAATTTTTACCGATTTGAATTTTAATTCTTTTTTTTTGAAATAATTTTAAGAGACATTCTTAAAGATAATTTTAGAGTATTCCAAACAAGAATGGAAATTTGGACTAAATTTTTTAATAGATTTATTAAAACGTTTTCCAAAACTGAAATTTTTGTAGAATTCTTGTCATAAAACTATTTGAAATTTTTTAATTTTTTTATCATTTTCACCAACAGTAATGTTTTAAATTATTATTATTATATTTATATAT